CCTTCAAATCTTTCAAAAGTATATCCATTAATGCTGTAATTGAGTCCATCCACTTTGCTGCTAATCATTTTCTTTTTCTTTCTTACCTTTCCCATCATTTTAGACTTCTGAAGAGATCTGGGTTTTTGTATAATGCGTCCGCGAGGAGAAGGGCGGGATATAAATTTAAATATAATAATAATAATAATAATAATAATAATAATAATAATAATAATAATAATAATAAACCATCAGACTAGTATCCTCAGTTTAGCACTGGTAATTAATATTTCTTCCTCTAATTTAAAACCACAGATTCATCTTTTTCTTGTCCAAACCTCCTCAATATATATTCAGTGTATATATTGAATGAAAAAGGGGAGAATATACAACCTTCTCTCATTCTTTTGCTGACTTAGAACCAGTCTGTTTCATCATTTTTCCTTCTTGACTATGGTTTTCTTTTCTATGTATACAGTTCTCATGAGGACAATTAGAAGTTCTGGGATCCCATTTTCCCCAAATATATTCACAGCTTGTCATGGCTGACATAAATGCCTTTCTATAACCAATGAGGCATATACTGACTTTCTAAATTATCTTGTGTACATCAACAATAATGCCTTTTGTAAAACCAGCTTGAACATTTGGCACCTCTCCCTTCCAATGTAAGGTCCTAATCTGCATTGGACAATCCTAAACATCATTTTGTTAATATGTGAAATTAAGGGTATTGTATAATAGATTGCATATTCTGTTAAGTCTCCTTTCTTTGATATTGACTAACATCTTCCAATCTGTGGTCACTGTGCCATATTTCTATAGCTATTCCATCAATTCCTGTAATTATCCAACTTGGTAATGACTTGAGTGCCGAACTAAATCCTGAACATGTTCTTGTACAGTGTCAGTTAAAACAGTTGCTGACCCAGACAGTACACCTTGTCTGTTGTGGCAGCAATGCTCTGGAACAGTCTTCCCTTAGTGATTTCAGTTGTCCTAGCCCTATTGTCTTTTAAACCAGCCTTGAAGACAAAGTTCTTTTACCAAACTCTGGGCTAAGAAGCATGTGCCTTTGGGGGGGGGGGGAACTTCATTAATATGTTGGGTATGTTAGTCCCTGGGTTATCATCATCATCTCCTCCTCCTCCTCCTCCTCCTCCTCCTCCTTTCAGATATTGGTTTAAATTTGTCAATTTGTTATCCAAAGTTATTTATGAATCGGGTGGCCTATAAACTACATAAATGTATCCTCCAATTTTACAATGGTGTGTACGGTGTGTGTGCAACAAATTTATTTTGCAATTTTATGCTGTTTCAAATATATAAATATGAAAATAATTTTACAACATGTTAATGATACACATGTAATTACAATAAAGTACCAATAAAGTACAATAAAAAGCCACTTTGGGGTCAATCACTGTATCTCAGCCCAATCTACTTCACAGTGTTGTTGTTGTGGGAAAGTAGGAGGAGGCAGGTGTATTGGAAATGTTTTCCACCTTGAGTTATTTGTAAAACTCATAAAGGCAGAATATAAACTAATAAACAAATAATATATTTTAAAAAGTACAGTAGATGAATTCCAGTCTGTTAGTCTTTTATATAACTCAATTAGTAGAACGAGTCAAAAACTATAGAAAAAAAGGAATACCGTAATATACCTTAAACCTTTCCCCTGCAATCTTTGCATTGATCTTTTAGTATCTGCACAGAATAAATACCATAACAGTGAACAGTGAATAGACATCCATAACACTGAAAATTCTTAACATGCATTATTAGCATGTCCAAATTATCCAGTTGTAAACAATTCTATAACTTGATTTTAGAGTATTATTAAACTTAAATCATGCTCATAACCAACTGACCTCATTGTTCCGATCAACTAAAGAAAATTTTCATATTTGAAATAACTGAATTCCAAAACCTGAAATCATACTCCTACACAGTGTGGCACTCCTGGACTAGAAGACCTCCAAGGTCCCTTCCAGCTTCTATTCTATTCTATTCTATTCTATTCTATTCTATTCTATTCTATTCTATTCTATTCTATTCTATTCTATTCTATTCTAAACCTGTGTGCTAGTTGAGCACATAGGATGCTTCTGAATGTAATTGTGGGATTGCTTTTTACTTGATTATTTTCTTAAGAGTTCCTGTCTAGAAGAGATTTAATTTTATGACTTCACAAAACTGAATCCTTGAAGAATGACATTTAGAAACATTCACTATTTCTTGAAATTTGCCTGGTTTCTGTATGTAGAAGAGTAATAAAACACCATGTAGCCACTTATTAAAGTTTTAGTGTTCTTTATCAATTTGACTTCTTTCCTTGCATCAGTAATCTCCAGATCTTCGTGGCATGTAATGCCTTATTGCGGGACTAAGTGTAGAATATCATTTTTCATCAATATGGTTGCACCATTGAGTCGTTGCAATATCATGATGGCACTATCATCATTTTCATTAGATCATTCTATTTTAATTAACATTTTGAATTCAGAGATTCTTGCTATAGCATCACAGATTTGAAACTAATATTCTCCAAGTAAGGTTTTATAATTTGAGGAATATATGCATCACAGTTTAAAGTAAAATTTCAGTATTGATAGTAATGTTTGTGTCTTTACCAAGAGTTAGAATATGAACTGTTGGCAATGTTATTTCATCCATGATGCTATTTTGCACAATTCTGCTAACAATTTCTAGAAATTCAAATTCTTACTGCTTCATGCACCTATGCTCTTCCATTTGACATTCATATGCTGGATGTAAACTCTGAACTATTCAGTTCAATAGGAAAGATACTGATAACCAGCAAAACACAACAAATACCTAGATTTCTTCTGGAGCTAAATGCTTGCATTTAAAATTAATTTGTTTTCTTCCTTTTTGGCTGGGTCTTTGAACAGTGTGATGAGCAATTTTTCTCTATTTATTAAGTTTATTTATTTATTTATTTATTTATTTATTTGTTTGTTTATTTGTTTGTTTGTTGTCCATTATACCATAGGGTAACTCTGGGTGGCTTATAATTATATTTTAGTTAAAACATAAAATGTTAAAATCACACCTTACAGCCACAGACACATGGAGAGGGCGGGGGAGGAGTGGGGGAAGGTGGGATCTGTTATTACTCAATTAAACACCTCCATTGCCCTGATCCCCCTCTGGGGCCCCAAGCCAACTGGCATAGCCACATCTTTAGACCCTTATGAAAAAATAGGAGGGTTGGAGCCAACCTCACATCGGGGGGCAAGATGTTCCAGAGAACAGAAGCAACAGCAGAGAAGGCCCTCCTCCTGGACCTAATCAGCCAGAATACTTGGGCTGACGGGACCCGCAACATGCCTCCTCTGCTGGCATGAATGGTATAAGCCAATCCCAGCAGGGTGAGATGGTCCCTCAAGTAATCTGGACTGATGCCATGAAGGGCTTTAAAGATGATCACCAGCACCTTAAATTGCACCCAGAAGCAGACCGATAACCAGTGCAGCTAGCAGTGATGCTACAGGGCCCATCTTTGGTGGGCCTGAAACTATCACGCTGCCACACTTTGCACCACCTGTAGCTTCCAAATGCTCTTCAAGGGCAACCCCGTGTAGAGTGCATTACAATAGTCCAGTCATGAGATGACTAGGGATTGAATGACTGAGCACAGGGAATCCTGGCGCATAACAGGAAGTTGTGCAAAAGCTCTCCCAACCATGACTGCCACCTGTTCCTCAAACTGGAATTGCGACTCCAGGAGAACCTCCAAGTTACGGACCAGGTCTTTCTGGGGCAGTGCCACCCCATCCAGAGTCAAGGATGACAAAGTCCCGGATCCTAGATCCCTGAATACTCAAAGCCATTCAGTCTTACCAGGGTTCAGTCAAAGCCTGTTGTCCCTCATCCAGGCCCCCACAGCCTTCAAGCACCATGAAAGGGCGGCCACAGCATCACCTGGGTCACCAAGAGTGGAAATATAGAGTATATACAATCTATGTCAGATAGCTATGACAGATGAGGCTATAAGAAATCGAGCTACCATCCATTCTTGAACCATTCTATATCTCTTTCAGAAGATCTATAACAGTTAATTTTGATAATTTGATTTATGTTTTACTTTTTTAAAAGAAATGTTAGTTGTCTATTTGAGTCAAATGATGGGGTATAGATTTGTGTTAAACTACTATATATGGTTGAATAAAAGAATAACTGTCATATAAGAGACAGTTCTGCTTTGAAGAATGGGGAAAACTTTGTTTTGTCCCTTTGTGGTAAGATTATACATGCAGAGATAATATGTCTGTATGTATAATATGCAAATTATTTACAATTGTTATGAATAAAAATTCTCCACATTTTATTTGAATGGCACTTTATACAGTATTTAATCACAATGAATTTGTATATACAAGCATGCTTATAAGACTAATGTGTAACTATAAACAATATATATTTAATTATTCAGGCTTCACTCTCTTTGTGCTAGGGTTATATTTCCTGAAAACGTCTCAAAAAGCATATTCATATAAATTGAGACACTGAAATGGGGGTTGCAGGGTATTGTAATAAATGTGCCCATAAATTTTAGAGCTTTATTCTTAAGCACTGCATCATTCTAATGAATTTCTTCTTTGTTTCCTGTTGCATGTACAGTGAAAGCATTTTCTGCATGTATCTTTAAAATTGGATTTCTAATGTGTACAATTATCATGGCAAAGAAAGAGGAAACATGACAAACTTTATTAGCATTCTTCATTGTGTTGCACCCAGTTTTGACAAAAACTATGTTTTTATTAAACATTGAAAAATAATGTCTGAACAGAGATTTGTGGCATTTCTAGACTGTTAAAGTTATTCAATTTAAGACGATTCAATGAAATGAATGGAATTTCTTTCTCCAAAATGAATATGAAAAATGCTATGAACAAATGCAGTAGAACTTTGTGACTATTGGCATGATGAGTTTAAACAGACCTAGAGTTTTTTGATAAATATTTTATCCATATTGTTTTCCTTCCTTTTAGTGGCAGAGCATTACTGTAACTCTGGTTGAGAAGGTGCAGATGATTGCTGTAATTTTGGGATCACTATTCTTAGTAGCAAGTGTAACTTGGCTTCTGTGGTCGGCCTTCAGTCCCTATGCAGTATGGCAAAGAAAAGACCTCCTTTTTCAAATCTGCTATGGAATGTATGGTTTTATGGATCTAGTATGCATAGGTAAGTTAAAAAATAATACAGTCATTCATTTTGTTAAATATGGCATGTTATCATTTGAGTGTATGTTTTTGTACATCTGATTTACATACATGGTAGTTTCTAGAAAAAATAAAATGTTTGTGGGGGAGTATTGTGACTTTTAGATATAACAAGAATTTCAATTTTAAAGATGCAATAATTCAGATATAAAATAATATTAAAAAGTTGCCTGATAATTACTCTCATCCACAATACCCATAGAGAAATCCATAATACTCTCAATTTAAATTAAATTGCAGCAGCCTTTAAGAATATCAAGGGACAATCAATCAGTGGATCATGGGTTACATACCTCTAGAAGCACCCAAAATTGAATCTCTGAAATTTGGTAGAAAATTTTGAAAATTTCAAAAGAGCCAGGTTTGGTCTAGTGGTTAAGTCACCAGGCTAAAAACCAGGAGCTAGTAAATTCTAGTCCTCCATTAGGCATGAAAATTAGCTGGGTGACTTAGGGCCAGTCATTCTCTCTTAGTCCAGCTCACCTCACAGGAATGTTGTGGGGAAAATAGGAGCAAAAAGGAATATTTGGTATATTTACTGCCTTGGTTTATTTATATAAATAAAGGAGGGATAAAAAACTCTTTTAAAAATCACTAAAAAACAGTAATATTATTTACAGTGTGAATTAACAATATATTAAGCACGAAGCATGAAGCTGAAGACACCAGCCTGAAGATGACGAATGTGACTTTGTCGAAACGTCGCCAAGACACTTCCAATTTTACGCGGGAGAAAACCCGAATATCCAAAGACCTACATACAAACACCATATATATATATATATTCAGAAATAAAAACAAAAATACGACTCTTGGGAATATTCATTATAAAACAAAGCGACCACCAAGATAAATCTATAAAACATATAGAGTTTAATCTACCAAGCTTTCGTCAAGTGCACTTGACATCATCAGGGTTAAAAAGGCAAATGCTGGGAAAGATTTATATAAATCTTTCCTAGCATTTGCCTTTTTAACCCTGATGATGTCAAGTGCACTTGACGAAAGCTTGGTAGATTAAACTCTATATGTTTTATAGATTTATCTTGGTGGTCGCTTTGTTTTATAATATATATATATATAATTTATATATATAATTTCAAATAGGAAAGTGCCTAAAACCATAAAAGAAGAAAGACTGGACCAAAATTTGACTTCACCTTTATAGTTAGGTCTCTACATTACTACTTTATCCATTCTTTTGACAAAGAACACCTATTATATTATTAAAAATACTATAATTCTTAGAATAGTTGAATACATACGTATATAGTATTTGTATACAAATATTGGCAAAAATCCCACCAAATTTAATGATTTTTAACTGTATATATTTCATTGAGCTATAGGACACCCTTGGCAAGGTACTCAAATGTCTTTGGACCAATGGACAACCTTCACATATTTCTGATGGATAATCTGAATACTAAGCTATATTTTGCATAGATAACTATTTCATTGCTATTGGTTTTTGAGAACTACTTAATCATTTTCAATACAATTGATTTTTCAAGAAACACTTATACAATTCTTCCTTGTGGTTAATTTGCTGAAGGGTATGCTTAGAAACAGCTAAAGGCCATGGAATCCCACAGATTCCATTTTGTCTATCGTATTATTTAATAACTTTTTGAAGTTATTGGTGAATACATAAATGGATATTTATTTTTTCTAATAAGTGACTTTCGACATAGACTTTTCCATTAGATTTTAAACAGGTTATGATGTCCTAGATGAATGTCTAGAATCAATATAGAACAAAATAGAACAAAATAGTGGATAGAATAGTTATTATATTATTTTGTATTTAATTTGCTTTGAATAAGATTGATCTTGACAAGAATTTTAAATGAGAAACAAGTTGTTGCAAACAGTAGATGGATCTTTGACCAGGGATCTTGATCAGGTTTGCAACTTGGAAAAAGAATAAACAATTTCTGGGTACCCTGGTAGTGAACTGGAGAATTGTTTGCATGTTTGCTACTGCCTTTGCACGAAACATTAGATCGAGCTACAATCACACATGACTCAATCACATCCAGATTAATTACTAATTTTCTACATCATCATGCCTTTAAAGCAGACATGTCAAACACAAGGCCCGGGGGCCGGATGCAGCCCGTGAAGTGGTTTCATGTGATCCATGAAGCCATCCTGAAAACAGTGAGGGAACGGCCCCCGCTGCCTTGGCCCTGGCCCAGGCCAGCCGGGAGCCAATATACAATTTGTGGTGGCCATCTTGGCACTTGCCTGGGCACTTGCCCCGGTCCCACCCCCTTCTTCCAGAGACCCTCAGATCTGTCCCACTGCTGCCCAGGCCCCCACAGGCACCCTTGATGCGAATAATGTAGAACTGGCCATACCCACCCAGTAGGCCACACCCACTCCATCCACATCCACCCGGTAGGCTGCACCCACTCTGGCCACACCCACCTGCCCCCCCAAGGGCAACCACAATGCTGATGTGGCCCTCAGTGAAATTGAGTTTGACACCCCTGCTTTAAAGTATCTATAAAAACTGAGACTTTCATAATGTGGTTGTGAGAAAACTAACTATGCCCGGGGGGGGGGGGGGAAATGTACCAGCTAATATTGTACAATGTCTATTGATTTCTAGTATGACTTCAGCCCCAGTTCTCATTTTGCATTTGAATAGATGGTTAATATTGATATGTCCCCATTTTCATGTACTACATGTATATCCCTCTCTCAACACCCTGCCTGCCCATGAGATGGTATTCTTCTTTCCAACTCAAAAGATCCTAGTATTGAGAAGGAGAATGGAAGCATAATTCCTTTTCCTTGCAGTAATTCTGAGTGAGTCTGTGGAGACTATATGCCTTATCCCTATCCACAAGCAGTTCTCCTCAGGAAAGCTGTTTTCTCTAGCATTAGCAGCAGAAAATGATGCATCTACTTTCCCAGGGCAATTGATCAACAGGATCAATGTCTGATGGGAAAGAGAAAAGCAATTTTCTATTGCTAATAGCAAAGGGAAAATAATAATAAGTTCCCTACCAGTTATTTGATTAGAGAGAAAAGCTGCTAGACATTCCCACAGTTTTGTAAGCTGCATCTTTTGCAGCTAAGGGCTCTTCTAGTTGTTCTCCCACATGTACTTTAAAGGTTTCTGTAAGGATGAATTCAGCCAATGAAGTGAAGTAATGCTTTGTTTCCTCACCATGTGAGATACTAGTGATTATCTAAGTGCTTCTAATAATGGAAATTCCTTCCCATAACAATTTTTTACTTGCTGATATATAATAAAAATAGTTTAAATATTATTTGAACCCATTGACATCAAATGTGCCTTTATTTCCATTGATGCTGATGTTCCTATTTATTTTATTTTATTTTAATAAATGATGATTGTCTCTTTATGTAGAATTTTAACTTGCTTAGGAAAAAGTATCTAATGAGAACACTCCTAAAGAATTATGGTCTAGCTTGTAGTCTTAGGACTCCCATATTGGGATTTTTTAAAAAAAATCTAGTTGACAGCTATATTACAGCAAAGAGATAAAAAACTATGTATGCAATGGTATAAATTTGTGGTCTGGATTCTGAAAGCCCAGGTATGACTTAAGCTTAAAATCATTTTCTACTGCTGCCAGCTTTGCAACCTTGGACTAAGTTTCAAAAGAAAGGATAGAGCCACAATGTCTAAGAAATCAATACCTCCTTAAAGTTGGGAGCAGAAAAATGAAGTACCAGATTTCTGGGAAGAGTACTTTGTCTAGGCAGAAATAAGATGTTGCTCTGAATAGGTTGTGCTATAATTCTATAATCTCTCTATAATCTCAATTCAACTGAAACAGTATTGACTATATTTGAGCAAAGAGTGGGAGTTTCTGGGTTAAAGGGCTCATAAGGTACTGACATGATGTTTCTAAAAGTATAACTGAAACTGTTATTTCTTGAAATTCATTTTTACTTTGATCATCCAGATAACTTGATGTTAATCAGAATAGAGCTGGAAGGAACATTGGAGGGCTTCTAATCCACCCTCCTGCTCAAGCAGGAGACCTAAACCATTTCAGACAAGTGGCTGTCCTGTCTGTTCTTAAAAACCTCCAGTGATGACTTCCGGTTCCGGGTTGTGGCATGTACAGTCGTGTAAAGAGACTCCTCTCTTCGCTGGCTGCTTTCCCTCCTCCAGTAGACCCTAATTGGGTTGAAAAGTCGCCCTGGAGGGGCGACTACCGATGAGGAGGACTCTTGTCGATCGTGGGGGGAGGTGGTAGTTGCTTCCGCGGTCTGAGGACAATCACTTAGATATGAGCCAGCAGTGTGCTGCAGCTGCCCAAAAAGCCAACACAGTGCTGGGCTGCATTAACAGAGGGATAGAATCAAGATCACGTGAAGTATTAATACCACTTTACAATGCCTTAGTAAGGCCACACTTGGAATACTGCATCCAGTTTTGGTCACCACGATGTAAAAAAGATGCTGAGACTCTAGAAAGAGTACAGAGAAGAGCAACAAAGATGATTAGGGGACTGGANAGGAGAAACTTCCTGACAGTTAGAACAATTAACCAATGGAACAACCTGCCTCCAGAAGTGGTGAATGCTCCAACACTGGAAGTTTTTAAGAAGAGACTGGACAGCCGTTTGTCTGAAATGGTGTAGGGTTCCTGCCTGGGCAGGGGGTTGGACTCGATGACCTACAAGGTCCCTTCCAACTTTTTATTATTATTATTATTATTATTAACATGGCCGATCATTTAGCTGCACCAGCCGAAAGTCAAAAGAACACCTAAGCATTAAGAAACCACTGTGGATGATCCGGGTGAGACCTTTCCCTCTCTCTCTTTGCCCTAACTACTCTCCTGTTAAAAGCCTTCTGGAACTATTTCCCTGCTTTGAGAGAGCTGCCTTTGTCTATCTGGGAAAAAGAGCTTTAACAAAAGAAAAAAAAAGTTAACTTTTTATTGACTATTTTTATTTTTGGTCACTTTGG